ATGTCAGTAAGAACAATTAAATTAAAGAATTTAAATATTGAACCCCTATCAGTGGCTAAGTATTTTTATGGGAAAGGGGTAGAAACCAACTCAATCATGCAGGATTTACTTTATTTATCTTATCGAGAAATCTTAAAAAAAGAAAATTCTTTACTCTTTACCGAAGAATTCCAAGCCTGACGAGCTGGTCCCACTCTCGACTCGGTTTTTTATGCGATGGATAATTATTTCGAAAAAAACCAGACTTATGAAGGTTTATTTGACAAGGTGCCCAGCCTGAAAAATAAAACTGTTATTCAATACTTAGAGAATACTTATCGACAATATGAAAAATATAAAGCCCAAAAAAAATCAATGGATTTCTATGAAAAAGCCAAGGATAAAGCCTGAAAAATAACTCGTAAACCTTTGAATGATAGTCTAAAATCCCAACCAATCAAAATAGCAACTATTACTAATTCTTTAAGAATATAAGGGATTTATGTCGAAAACTCTTTTTGATTTTAGTGAAATGTTTGTTGGTTGTATTCATACCGAAGATTTTACTAACGCTATTAAAAAGGAAGAAATCAAAATATTACTGGCTAACTCTTTTATAGTTATGCAGGATTGTAGTAGTAAAAGTTGGGAAGAATTCGAGGAAGATACTGGTAATTGTCATGAAGCCAAAAGTGAGTATATCAAATCTCGTATTGGTAAGTTAATTAACTGAAATAAGAAAGAGATTGAAGAGTTAAAAAGAAAACATGTCTGACAAATACCTCTTAGTCAAGAAGCCCGCTTATTTGGAATACTAGAAAAAAATAAGCCTATCAAAAACAATAATCTTTTCCGAACTTTGCTCTTTGATCCGAACCATAAAACTTATCGGAAGAGTGGTAAAAATGTTTTGGCTTCTTTAAAAGACTTAGTTTGTTTATTTAGTGAAGAGGAAGAATGTAGGGAGGTGTTGGTTAAAAAATCACTAAGGAAAAACCGAAAACTTGGATAATTTTCTAATCTAACTTCTTTTTTTACCAAAAACTCCTAGTCATCCAGTAATTTTTTTTCTATTTTCTTGCAAATTTTGATCAAAAAATCAACCCTCATTTTCTCTCATATAGCAACTTATATCAGTCCTCATATGACCTTTTATATGAGAACAAGCC